GATTACTAAACTAGTTGATGGTTAATCAAGTAAACTGATTAATCACGATTAAGCCAATTAATCATTTCATCCTCAGTTTAAACTTTGATAAAATAGTGTCAACTTAAAGATGTTGCTTTGATTAACTTCAGGCAAATGTAACAATTTTCAGAAAGACGATGTTCTTACCACGGTGGAGTTCCCTTACAAGCCGCGTTTGCACGGCCCGTCAGCCAAAACCACGGACCTGTGAACAGACAGCAGATCAGAGAATGAAGGGACACATTAAGGCAACAGTGATATTTATGACAACTTATTTAAAACAACAAAAGCATAAAATAGTTTCTCTTTTCCAGCACGGGCTACAAGACAAAAGGACTTGAAGAGTGAGTAGCAAGTAGGTTTGTTTCATCATTATAAACCTTATTAAAGACACAAATGGGTTCATATGAAAAAAAAAGTATTAAATATACAGACAAATATAAAAAGATAGTAGAAGTCTGTGTACTTGGATCCCCATTTGTGTTTCCCGTAACAATGTAGCCATTATTACAACAACAGTTACACACTTGCAAGATTTTTCCTCCTTTTCTACTTTGTTTCAATAAAATATTGTATGCAGGTTAAATGAAAGGACTTCCAATAAAATTACAGCTCCTGATGACGTTTAAACTGACAATTTTGTTCCATAGTTCAAAACGTTTAGAAAGAACTGCACCAAGATGCTGTTGCTTTAAAGCCACAGTTAGCTTGCTACAAGCTGTTTCACACAAGAGCTAATACATAACGGGACGCACTTATCAGTTGTTTAAAAGTTTTTATTAATATTGTGAAAACATGATAGTTTTACTGGGGATTATGCTATGAGAATTGCATAATATAGCATTGGGACTTGCAGGAATAAAATAAAAGCAGAGGTTATTTATTTTTGTATTTAAGCTGTTTGGGTTCTGAGGTGAAGAAATTTGAGCTTCTCCAATTCTTATCTGGAGGAAAATTTGGTTTTATGCAAAATTTTAAAATTTTCTGATCATTATAGCACCTCAAACCCAAAACATCCATATTTTAGAAACCAATTAATTGATGATATGGATTCTGGGTTATGGTGATGAAGAATAAGACATTACGGCAGAAATAAAGACTGATTTTATGAGCAAATAATGTCCAGCTGCAGTGTTAAGTGACTTGCACCATAAATATTCGATCAATTCAGTAAAAGAATATGATTTAAAAAGCTGAAACGTGTGTTTAGAAAAGCAGGCAACACACAATAACGGCAAGGGAAGATTTTTATTTATTCTTTTTTAGGAAGCAATGTAGGTCAAATGTACAATTACAGTGTGTGCACTGAGGCGACTACACAACACACAATCCTGAATGGACTGTTCCCACATCTGCAGCAAAGCCCATTAAAGTGTAGGTTAAGCCCGTTTTAATGCGGTTCCGACCAACATTTCTAATCTGTTATCTGTAGAAACCCACAGTTCCTCAGGGACGCTCCAATATTCTGTTATTCCACCGCAGCTTAAAATGGAAAGAAAATTAAATCCCAACACTATTTACAGGAGATCCTCTTCTCATATCCTACATAGATTACAAAAAAGGTTTCAAAGTGCTTAGAAACCCACTGCAGGCCTTTTTGGATGTAAATCAGTCACTGCCATGAGTTAAATTTAATACCAGCTACACCTGAGCCGCTCGCAATAAATCAGACATATTTAAAACAAATGCTGAATTTTTTGAGTGTTTAACAAGTCACACAATAAAGGCCTGTCCACATTGTGAGCAACAAGTCACAACTTCCTCAAATGCGTGAAAATCAACCAGCAACTGTTTGGTTGCAGTCTGAAGTGTTACGCAAATACTACAAGTTTTCAGCTCTCTTTTTTTAACTGGTGTCTATTCTTTAAATAACATTTTGCTAGAGTTGCATTTATTTAGTTTGAGGACAAAGTAAGGTAAAAGTAAAATATTGTCTATTAATTCAATTATAACAAAGGAAAGCAGCAGCAACTTTTAAACACTTAAGTAGACTTATTTTACATTTACAGGTGCTGTGAACAGACCAGAGAAAAAAACGATTAATCGTGATTAATCGTCAACTAATTTAGTAATCAACTGGCGGACGTAGTCTCAAAACAAAAATAAAAACATATTCCGGAAACTTTACAATGTATATATATATTATGCATTTAAAATATAAATATATTTTAGCTTCACCCGGTTCAGATTTACTAAAGGAAAGTTGTGTTATTGCATTTTAGAAAATAAAATGTTTATTTTCTTATTTTAAAAAGGAATTAAATGCGTTTATTTGCATATTTTAATTTATTTCTAACAGTGCATAAAAAAGGCCCAAGTGTTTTAATGAAAAACCTGTAGAATGTTCTTTTAATCCCATTAATCAATAAACCATCAAAACAATCGACAGATTAATCGTTTACTAAATTAAGTGTTAGTCGCAGCCCTGGAACAAAGGCAGCTTGAATTTAGGCCAAACGGATGTTATGAAGCCAGACTGTTCCAGGTAGGGGAGAGGTATTTTCCAGCGCAATCAATCCATCACACACACACACGCACGCACGCACGCACGCACGCACGCACGCACGCACGCACGCACGCAGCATTGTGTTGGTTCCTGCACTGAGAGCTCATCATCAGTTTAATCGAGCATAAATATCTCAGCATGATCCTACAAACGTGACCTTTGTGACAATGACGGTTATATTACAAAACATTTCATCTCAAAAACCAAGCTGGTGTTTAATAGACGTATACGAACATAAGGAAGGTGAGGAAATAATTTACTACAACCAGAACGAGGAATGAGGAGGACAAATCAATTCCTAGAATGCCAAGCAACCTTAAAAGACGACAGTTCAAACACATTATTCACGGGAAAAGTCACTGGTTTCTGTAAGTTTCACCAATTTAATGAAATCCAGAACTTTCTACAGACCAAAATTACACAATTTTCAGACCCGCATGACTTTTAGACCTGCATAAGTCTAAAATTATGCAGGTCATAACTTTTATTAAACTTGCTTGATAATTTAAGAAAGTTACACATCATTTTATTAAATCTGTGTTTCTTGCTAGCTCCAACAGACTTCATATTGACTATGCAAACAGTTTAAGCCAACTTATCTTAAACAGACTTTTGAAATTCATATTTTCAAGATGAGCCTCATTACAGATCAACACTCTGGTCATCACAACTATCAGAACCAACGTTGGATTTGATTATCTAAATAGGCCAGTTTCAGTGCTTTCTAAAGTACTGTACTCAAGACCACAGTTGCTATAGTGTGTAGTCATGGCAACAAGGTGTTTTTGCGATTGGGAGCAGATGATTAGCATCTCAAAAGCTCAAATAATATCTGAAGTCCGAACTGAAAACAATGATTCATGGATGCAGAGCTTTCAGTCAGAGGCGTTTTAAGACCTGTTGCGAGACTGATTGCTATTGGAGATCCTTCTTCATCATTAACATCCATCACCTTATTGTAAAATGATCAATGATAATAAAAGTGACAATAAAAACCATAAAGTCAGAGACTCGTAAAAACAAATATTGTGTGATAAAACTAATCAGTTAGACCAAATTAGTACACCAGATACATTGTAGCAAAATAAAAACAAAACTAACAATACTAACTATATCGTCTGAGGGATAAAACTAACGATTATTTTAGAAATCAAATATTCTGATGATTAATTGGACTGTCAGAATTGTAGATTTTCCATTTAATCACTTACAGTATTAGAGATGCATTAAAAGATGCAAATTAGCAAATAATTACTTTATAGAATAAGAAAACAATGTTATTTCCTCAAATGCAATAACAGAATTCCTTTAGTGAACGTGAATATCAAAAAGTTCCTAATAAGAGATTTATTTTATTACAAATTTTGAACCAAGACGAAGGAAAAGGTGACATTTACAAAGAACAATTTTTCATCTCAAATGCTATATATATATATATATATATATATATATATATATATATATATATATATATATACACACACGTCTTGACTTTACTGCAAATAGCAGCTAACGACGAATCAACAATTATTTCAGTAATCGATTAATCGTGACTAATTCGATTAATCATTTCACTACTAGATGATTTTGCGTTACAATAAAAAGTTTTTAATACTTAAAACTGAGATGAATGAATCCAAAATGTTTTAAAACTTTACACAAACCTTGTAAATGTGTTCCCTTTTTCTCTGATTGGTCCCAGAAAAACTGAAACCACACCAAAGTTAACTTCATGTGAACCAACTCTCACTTCTATCCATTGCTTGGAAGACCATCAGAAAATCCCAGATTCCTTTTCCAGCCTCTCTCACATTTGTCAAAAACATAAATTAAAACTTTAAACTAATAAATAACATCCAGGTTTATCAGATTTTTACAATCAGGAGTAAAATTTCTACGTCGTCGTTGCTCACCGTCCACAGTCAGTCGCTGCGTTTCATCTGTACAGAAACTGTTTGGTGCTGGGACATGCCGCGCTGCAGAATGAGGCATTTCCAAATAAATCATGAACTTTGCTCTCATTCCTCTTTCTACAGACACTCCCTTCTGCTCCTATCAGTGTGATGCCACACACAGCACCTACAAACCTCTTCACAGACGGCTTAAATAACTACTCTACTAAAACCAGAATGTATTTCAAGCTTAATAATGTCATTTATACACATTAAACAGCTCTGCAGTGCAGCTGTCCTTTGTAATCGGTCAACAGAACGGAGTAAAACTGGTTCATTTGTAAACAAGAGCTTATCATATCAGCCTGCTCCACTCCTTTACCATAACGGAAACTTCTTCACTTCTCGTTCTGCAGAATATCTCCAATGTTGTGGGTTTTTTTCACAAAAACAACCAGATAGTCTCGTCGAGGAAGACCTCACATCATGAAAACAGTCCCCAGCTATCTGCAGCTGTGTGGGTAATTATACTTATCTGCTTATAATCAGAACAACTGCTGTAAATACAGCAGTCATACATATTAGATAAATGCCAGCAGTTTGGAGCAGCAATCCAAACAAACAAAAAGTTAGTGACGTTTTTTTCCTTTTACTTGATTAGGAATGTTAAGATTTTCATTTTGGCAATTTTCCCATAATTTTAATTTGTTCTAATCTGCATGAATTGGTTCACAGTAGGGGTCTTTTCCTCCATATTTCATTATAATGTCCATTTTACCAGCTGCTAGTAGTATTTTAACCAAATATCTGTCCCTGTTTTGTACATTTCCTTCAGATAAATTACACAGATGTAATGTTTCTATGAATCTTACGGCCAAGTATTTTCAGTAGTGAATTATTTAACACCAAATTGGTGTTATTGCATCACATTTCCAAAAGATGTGGGCAAGACATGCCTGTAATTTTCCACAATCTCACCAAGGAGGTACATTTTTACTTTTGAATAAAAAGTTTTATCTGCTGTTTTTATATTAAATTCTGATTCCCGATTTTCTTTTATGCATTTGGTGTAAAATTTGTTTATGATCAACTTTTTATACAAACTGGATGTGATTCTGACTTTACTTTCTTTATATGGGTTGATTATTACCTTGATCTCAGAGTTGACAGTTAATTAAAAAGCTAAATGAATGAATGAATGAATGAATGAATGATGAGAATCTGAAAAGATTTAATAACGAACGTCAACATCCTGTGCAGTTTTGAAAATACAGACATGTTTAAACCTGTCGCAATAAGCAATTAATAAATTAGGCTCAATGGTTTCCATTCTGATGATTAATATTTTGTTTACCAAGACTCCATAGTCCATTTTATTTATTATTTTGCTTGTGTGTGGTTTTCATTTCCATTCTATTTATTGCTTTTGGTTGTTGTGTTTTATTTTGAATATTCCAGATCCAGTGTTTATTGGTCATTTTGAGAGGATGAATTTGCATTATTGTGCCATTATTAGTATTTTACTTGAAAACTGTCTCAGAATAATATCATTTCTGGGACAATTTATTGCCCAGTAGCTATTGACAGGCCTGGTAAAGGTAATTTTATTTACAGAGCACATTTTCAGCAACAAGGCAATACAAAGTGCTTTACAGGAATTAAAAGGAAATACAAACAAAACAACAAACTCAAGGAAAAAGCAAAAGAAGAAAAATAATCTAATGTTGATCTAAAGTATGTAAACTAGATACTGGATGTGCTCATGAATTATGGGTAAAAAAAAACAAAAACAGGCACAGGTGGTTTGGTAAAAATATGCTTGGATGGACAGAATGAAAACAGGCCTCACTTGTGAGGCTGGAGGAAAGATAAGTAATGCTGACTGGGTTAAAGCTGCTTAAGGCTGGGCAGCTGCTCTGCATCACCTGAACACTAAAAATAATTACCTGCATTTCTACCAACAAACCAGAGGAAGAGTGAGACACTGTGGAACCGTTTGATTTTTAAAATTTTAATTAGGTCTGGCACAATAAACAAGTAAATTAATCACATGATAAATTAAAATCAGAGGTGGGCAGAGTAACCAAAAATTATACTCAAGTAAAAAAAGTATTTTAGTAAAAAGTTTATTAAAGTACTGAGTAACTGAGGTTATTATCATGTAATACTTTAAAATTACATGATCAGATAGAACAAAATATAAAGTTAAATGGAATTTTTTGTATTTTAAGGGCGAAGATGACAAAGTAACAAAATCAGGGATTTTTCCCCCCTAATCAGTTTCTATCAATAAAAAACTTATGAAACTTTAACAAAACCTGCAGGTGTGTCTGTCTGGTGAATCTTTGGTTAAAACATGTTTGCTTTTCATTCAGTGGGAAGAAAATCCAGACATTTTACTCGAGTATGAATACTTCATAATGACATTACTCAAGTAAAAAGTACAGCGTAGTAAAAATACTTCTAAAAGTAATGTCTTTAAATATATGTAAATGTAGCTAGTTACTACCAAACTCTGATTTAAAAAACGAGTTCAATAATTTCCATTTACAGGATTTATTGTTTTCCTCTTTTTAACAAAAACTAGCAATTTTTTGGAAAGACAAATTTCATAATTCATCTTATGTACTGCTTTTGTTTTTTTATTTTGAGTTCGTCTTCCAGTTGCAGTGTTCAATATTCATTAGCATTTAAAGTTTAATGAATGTGTTTTTTTATTATTATGCCATCACTACTGCATGACTTGAAAATGGTCTCTAAACAACATTTTTATCGTTTATCGCGGTAACGTTTGAGATCATTTATTGTCCAGAAAAATTTGAAAAAAATGACAAGATGTTCCAGACTGCCTTAAAAAATATGCAATAAATGACATTTTCCTGCATGAAGCCAATCGACCCATCTGTGCTGAACTTACCAGTACACATAGTAGGCCATGGCCATGAACACCATCGCCCCACAGATCCCAGTGAAGATCATCACAGCGCTCTGGTTCAGCATTTTGGCTCTTTGTTTGCCGCCAAACTCAAAACCAAAGTAAATAATGTGAAAGTAGAGGCCTGCGGAGAGCAGCGGATGGTCACAGGCTGGCCTGCTTCATAGCCATGATAATCCCAGAGCAGGAAAAACGGGAGATTATGATGATGACAGCAGAATACAGCCAGATCCCAGGACCTGACGGAGGAACTGCCTGATCAGCGGGGGCGCCAAGTAAAGCGTTACCCATCAGCAGCAGGGAGAAAAGTCACCAAAATAAACCCATTTCCATCATGGAGAGGAGTGAAAACCAAATTGATGAATATTTGGAGGATCGTTATGGATGGTTTTCTTGAGGAAGGAAGCAGCAGCTACACATGTACAGTAAGCAGAGTCTTGGATTCCCATCCTCTAATCCAGTGGATCAGATTAGCGCTGATTACCAGGCTATGTGCACCCTGAATATGTCACATTGCATTAACATTAACAGAACCAGACAGAGTTCTGCTCTACAGGAAGCCGATCGGATCTGTTACGGTACAACAACCACTCAATGTGGATTCCCTACACAAACTTCAGCTTCTGATAGGGCTTATCGTATCGTTTACCATTTATCATGATACATGTATTATTATCATGATAAACTCCAATTATTGATGTTTAAACCCCACAAAACTGTCTGTATTGTTGGGATTGTTCATTTAACCACCGTATTTTCTGCACTGAATTACTAATGAATGGTCTGTTTTCTATCTCTGTTCATATATAAAGCGCACTATAAAGCGCATTAAGTGAAACAAAACAGATAAGTCAGTCAGTCTAATCAGTATTTGTATTTGTGGAGCTATGATCACAGAGTGCACCAATTGACGTTTTCCAATCAATTAGTTCAATGAATTAACAAGCCTAACCTGCCGATTCAGATTATTGTCGTGTGCAAATTAAAAAAAAAAAGAGACTAAAATACATCTCAATGCAGAACATGTTGCCCAATGAAATCCCCAATGCTGATGGCAGCAAACACAATCCATACTCCTAAAGTATTTTTAAGTTGCATTGAGAGCTGAAAATAATATCACTTTGCACCAATCGGATGGTTGAATAACCTAAATAATAAATTAAAAATTAATTTGTTAATTTATTCAATAATTTAACAGCAAAAATGGGTTTTGAATTGAAAATGTTGCGTTTTTGTCAATATTTTTAATTAAAATAAGATTAAATACAATAAACTTGACATTTTTTAATTAAGTCCTACCACTAAAAATAAAATCCCTCCAGAATATCGACTTTAAAATGCGAATTAAAGCACTTTGCATCTTATGGTTAAATAACCTCAATAACAAACTGAAAATAAATTTGTTGACGAGCTCATATGCGTACTTATTTAATAATTTAGCAGCAATAATGGTTTTTGAATTGAAAATGTCACTTATTTTGTTGATAATTGTTTTATTAAAATGTAATTAATTACATGTTATCTTGCAATTAACTTTTAATCAAGTCCCACATTGCAGAAAATAAAATCCCTGCAATGTGAATTAAAGCTAAATATTTACACGCCGGCATGCTTGCGTGTTTGTGACAGAAACCTCTGGATGTTTTTTCCTGGTTTTTATAAGCCGGCGGACAAAAACCGTCACAGCAGGAAAGTGTTAGGTCACAGAACTGACCGGAGGCTCAGCGACCAGAAGCAGATAAAAATACATTGTGATCAGTGGAGAGTGAATTCTGTTCATGTCTCACTGCATTAGCGCACCGCCCTGAACCCAAACCACCTCAAGGAATACCGTCATGTATTTTAAGGCTGCACTTACACGACAGCCAAACGTTTCCATCGTCGGAGAGTAAAAACATCAGCCAGAGAGTTTTTAGTTTCAGGGCTGCAGCAGACAGACAGAGAGCAACAAATCAAGACGGACTATAGATGTAATTATACATGCAATGTCACAAATGAATACATTTATTTTGCTACAGTCAACTTAAAACCATGTGCATTTTTTCAGATCTAAATTACATATTTTTCTAGAATTAATTTTATTAATTGTCACCACATTCTGAAAATTTGCGAATAAGATAAATACTTTGATATAAAGACAAAAAAGATTATATCTTTGTTCCCTTTACTCAAATAATAATAAAAAAAAACTACATTTTACGGTTTTCTTTTGCATTTTAACCAGTTTAAGCTTAAGCAGTTTATCGTATCGTTTATTATCGCGATTTTTTTATCGTGATAAGAATTTTTATTTAAAACTGTCCACAGTGTTGTGATTTATATTTTTACTACTTTCTTCACTGTTTGTTCAATGACAGCATCAATAAAAATCAATACATTTGAAAATATGATTACATGTATGTGCTATGCTCAGTTTAGTAACATAAATCCCACATTTTTTACACGACGGTTTTCTAAAGAAGCAAATTAAGATATTTTTCAGGAGCACTATTTTGTTTGTGGGGCTGTAATGTACCGTGCAGAAACAGCCTAAAAAAAGAGGTAATAAATGCTCCTTATCGTCGATTTTATCAACAGTACCACCAAATATCGTGATAAAGGTTTGCATCCATATCACAGAACCATGATTTCTGTGTTATCCGTGTACTGAACACCTGACTCTAATGAACGGTGATTAACAGAAGCTCTTGCTGAGGTGGTAATGCAATCATCTGGATCAGGTGGGCTGAAGGACAGGTGGATCAGGATTGATAAGTGTTTCTAGTACAACTCCAATCATTAAGAGCTACAATCTCACAACTTTTAAATCTGAATCAAATGTCTGAACTCTCACATCCACAGGTTATTCAACTTTGCAAAGCCAGGTCATGCATTAGACTCAGGTGTAAAAGTTGCAGAATATCATGTTTCTAGGACTGGACTTGAGCATCTCTCGTCTACAAAGTCCAATACAAAATGACCCTCTTTTTGTTTTGTAATGAAAATACTGAAGGGTAAACTATTAAACTTAATATGTGACGTGGCAAATCAGTGCAAGAACAAATTATGTCAAAACAAATCAATCTTAAAACAAAAGTACACAACATGTATAAAGCATATTTTAGGGTGTTTTCCCACCTGATAGTTGGGATTAGGAACCAAAATTTCAACATCTGTCACATTTTTCAGCTAATCCGGTTCGTTTCCCGCTTTCTCACCGCACTACGAAACAATCCAAACATTTTAAAAACCTGTTCCCCTCCTCACCTGTGGGGGCGCTGCACAAGGAACCACTGAAAGAAATGACAAAATCAGGACAACTTCCTACTTCACAAAAGGTACACAAAAAATGGAGTAGTGTGAGATTTCAGCAGTTGTAGGATGTCTCTTGTCTTTTGTAAAAGAGAGCTAAGCTGTCAAGTTTGTTTTAGTTATATTTACCCAGAATGCATTGTGCTATAGTTTGCATCCTGCTTTTGGAGTGGTTCCTGGTCCGATTGTCATTCACATTTGCTCTCAAACTGCACCAGACCTAGTTGTTGGTAGGCCTGTTGCAATAAGCAATAACTCAACTAATCGAATGATAAACAAACTCAATAATTTCCATTCACACCTCTCCAAACTAATCTGATTTTCCTATTGAACTAGAGTCCAATTAAAGTGGACCAAACAGGGCTGGTGGGAATTAACCCTAAATGTTTGTCCTTCACAAAATGCATTTCACAAATGCAAAAAACCCTGTATGTTTGAAAATAACCAACTCTAAAAACGCTAAAAGTACGAAGCCATGATAAAGCTGACCGATACCAAAACTATTAAACTATTTTATTGCTTATTAAATAAATAGATAAAAAGAACCCTATCTATTTGAATCTGGGTTATTCCTTAATAACATCAGACATGCAAATGGTCAAAGCTAAATGGCCCTGCAGTTCTAAAACACGATTAGAACCTCTTTAAAGCCGCCTCAGCACTTTGCGTGGATGCGGCCTCACTAATAGGCTGTGCAGTGACTGATAACACTAGAGGATCCCTAAGTGCCTCGTTTCTGTTTTGGGGAAAGTAAGAGAACTAATGACAAAAGGGTGAAGTTACTGCTACAAGTACAAACAGGTAAAGTCGCTGTCATCCTTCAGCAAATTGCATTAATGAAAGAGTAAAGATAAGGTCTTATCAATGTTTATACACCTCAAAGTCCTACAGGCCAACACTGAACTTGATAGGAGGATCAACGGGTTACTACTACGTGTGTGCATGGGAGTGAACTTTGCACAAACACGCTTTGCAGAAGCTTTAATTTGAACGTGCATATTTTTCTCAGCAGCAAAACAAAGAGTTACTTTCCAAACTTTGGTTCATGGCACAAAACAGGCTATTGGATGTTTAAGAGCTCAATTAAACAAGACTGAACATACAAAGACCAAGCATTTCACAACCTCAGGTGAAATAAAATTAATGCTTCTCACAAGGAAGCTATTGTGAACAACAAGCCATTTCTAATAGTGTCATTTTCCTACTATATGCTGCAGCCTTTATGCACATTACCACATAAATTTTACCAAAATTACATGTGCGTTAGCCAAAAGAGATTAAAGAAAAGTAATTATGCTTTAGGTAGGGGTGTCACAATAATACATTTTGCTGGATGATAAATTGTTCCATAAGTTATTGCGATAAACGATAATATTGTTTTTTTGAGAGCATTTTCAATGGTGATAGCACAATAATGCAAGAACGCATTCTCAAAGATCAATAAACTTTAAACTCAAAGGAATATTTAACACAGAATCTGGAAAACATTTTAAATATCCAAAATAAATAAACAAAGCAACAAATAAATGAATTATGAAGTCTCCCTAAATAAAATTATCCTTCAAAACAAGTCTACCTGAGACCAATTCACCAGACTGAAGAATTGTATCATCTAGTTTGTCAGAAAAAGAGAAAAGTGAAAAATATCAAGATTGTTTAAATTTATCATGTGTTTAATTGACCTTTGGTTATTGTGACAGGCCTAGTTGGCTTTCCAAATGCAAATTAATTAGAAAATCTGAGAGGAACAAACACACTTCCCCATCTGAACTGTAGTATTATTATAGTTTCTGGTGCAAAATCTTTTTTTAAAAAGTTACAACAAAACTGTAACGCAACACTGTACATCATAACATTCTCCTACAAGTCACAATATTGCTTTTAGGCAAAAAAAACAAAACAAACTAAGATGCCTTAGGTTTAAAATATGACATCCCAGCACTGAACAATGCACTGGCTCATGCAGAATGAAACGAACTCCAGTAACCTTTCTGCTGGTGAGTGTTGCAGCATAGGTCACTAGTAAATATAGCCTGTCATGACTAACTGTGTGCAGCTCCAGCTTTACAGCATGTGTCTCTAAACGTAACGCTGCGCCACGACAGCCTTGATAAACTGGGTAGCACTGACAAAGCTCAT